CTCATGCTTCGTTCAGTTACGTATTGCTGTCAATCGTCCCTACATGCACTGACACCGACGCGACACCACAACTAACTAAGGAGATTAGATTTGCATAGCAGGCCCTTGGCAACCTATATCCTACGTCGAAAGGTATATGAATGCCCTTAAGCTCCCTATACTCCCTATCAAAGCGATATAATATTGGATTACTGGCCAGTTTATGTCTATTCGCATAATATTTCGTTTCGATTGTGGCTCGGCGAAATTCACTATGGAATAGAAATATTTAGTTTTATGGGTAGGGGGCAGAAAGTCCTGGTAATATGGCCAGCTATGTCAATAAAAATGCTCTATAGAGATAAGCAAAATCGATAAGTCAGTACGACTCCTACTTGTAGGGACTGCCACCCTAAATAATATTTAAACTGGTTAGAAGAGTACTAACTTTTCGTCGGTACATAATAAAACTACTGAGTGAAAAAAAATATATACTCGCCGTTTTGTAAAAGGTCTCTTAGTAAAAATTGCTACCTACTAAGTAATGGTTCTCGAGATACTTGGAATCGAAATAATCGATACACGTAATTAACAAAAAATTGAATATGTGACTGGATAGTTAACTGAAATCTAAATTTGAATTATTTTTTGTGCCAAATTTCGATAAACTGTTTATCATCATTTTTTTTCTAGAAGAAAATATAATTGATTAGAAAAAATAATAAGTTCTCTAAATAAAATGTTATTCTAAAATTAAATTAATAAAAATAAAGAGTGTTTGTTAGAAAGTATCCAACATAAACTATATGATAAATATGAAATTAGTAGTAAAAATCTACATATTTTTTAAAATTTAACCGACAAAATGTACCTTTATAAAAGTGCTTTGTCGAAAATAATCTACGTTTATGTAAGTACTTTTTGTATGTCAGACTTTTTACACTGAAAAATATGACGATTTCACAAAAAATATAGTCAAAATATAAGTAAATATAAATAAATTAATATACTTGACTTAATTATAGATGAATCTACGTTAATAAGAATATAGAAAAAAACACTTTGTTAACTCTCAATTTAACTAAGTAGTTAAATTATATTAATAATAAAAATTTCAGAAAATTATTCCCCCAAAACCTATTTAGTATGCAGAAGTGTAAAACTTTTTAATACCTAGTACTATGAGCTATGACTATATGTTTAAAAATTAAATTAGAGTTGATGTAATTAAAAATAATTAGAATATTCTCAGATTACTTATGAGTTGAAATATTCTCATTTAATAAACTTTTACAATAACTTTTATTTTTTAAAAAAAGTTTTAGGTATTAATTTTACTATATATCTTTTATTAGTGCAGTTTGATGAGTTACAACTGATGTGTCTTTAAAAGTTGCCAGAATCAGATGTATAAACTATAATAATAGTCTGTAATAACCAGAATTAAGAATAAGTTACGAATTATGAATCATAAATTATCATAAGTAATGAAGCACAGAAATATGACATAGAATGGTATCTATTAATAAATAAAACGTAGACCAATAATATGCAATCAATTTGGCAGTATACATATGAACGAAAAAAAACGGCGTCGAAGACGGCTAGAATGCCAATCCATGATAATTTTGGAGAGGGTCGATCTCTATACGTCATTTACTGAAAATTGACACAAAACTTGTCAAAAATTAACAGAATTATAGAAGCGTGAGATGGAACGTTTCCGGACATATAGATCTCTTTCCGAAAAATACTTCCTTCAAACTATTGTGGTATTCCCCACTTCAAAAAATAATTATTTTAAAAAGTTAGCTTTATTGTGTTACTTAAAAAGTATAAATATAGATCCGGTCTCACTGTATTAAAAATAATTTGGGCAGTTTACACTTTACTGAGATAATACGCTCTACCGTGCGCGTCTCAAAAATAAGCTCACCCTATAACTTTCTATTTTTTCAGTTAAAAAACGGTATGTTAGTATATGACATAAATTAGGATTGATTGACGTGTTCAACTGTTTCGGTCACTTCCTGTTTCACCGGAAATAACTACAACTTTTGATTTTAAGCCGCTCTCGGTATTTTTACTTTATTCGAAGAAAATGACATAGATAGAATGCAATATGATATGTCAACTTTTTGACATTTTTGCATATGGTATATTTAACATTATAACCTGTGATTCGCAACGAAAATTTGACTCAAAATACCAAGTGTGTGGTATCAAATTATTCGTAAAAATGCTTTCAAATATGCTAATGAGCCATCCTCGTTCCATTTGAAAAAAATTGAAATATGATTAAAAATACGATTTGAGCATTTTTCTAACTGGAAGGACAAGACACTAAAACATTAGACGTTCAAATCTATTTTCCAATGTCCTTGATTAAGAATTGGCGTTTTTAACATAACCATGGCACTCTAGATTGGAATTTTAAAAACTAATTTTTGTTAAGCGAGAATGTCAAAAATTGACATATGATATGTCATTCTATTCAGAATTTCATTTTTCTATCGAATAAAGTAAAAAAATACCGAGGGGTGTTATTTAAAAATCCAAAAGTTGTAGTTATTTCCGGTGAAACAGGAAGTGACCAAAACAATTAGACCATCAATCAATCTAATTTATATCATATCTAACTTACCAAATCTCGTTTTTATCTGAAAAAATAAGAAAAGTTATATTGCCAAGTGAGCACTTTTGAGGAACGCACCCGGTATATGCATAGTGTAACTTTCCTGTAATACGCCATAATGCCCTGAGTGTTGTATATCTAGGTATCTAGTAAATCAGGCAGAAGCTTCTGAGGCGCCAAAACTATTAGTTTCTGTCGGCCGAATATGATCTGGTCGATAACAGGATGAACTTAATTATTATAACCATATCTTAATATCCTGTGCGATAATATGATATGCCGATAATACCGGACAATATTATTAATTTATGAAAATGTTTATCAAACTTTATACCATATAGTTTAGCATACTTAAGGTCGTTCATAAAGTTTAATAGTTACGATTTTGGCCAATTGTATAATAAAGACTTTAAATGAAATAAAGATACCTAAGTTATGTTAAAAATATGGTTTGTAGGTTTGTAATTTAAAATATTCAAAACCTGGCACACAAAACAAACCTGAAGACGTTTTTGTTAGTTAGCAGGTCCACACCCGCAGGTACTGAGGTCTCTGGGATTCGGGAGACTACTCTTATTAATCATAGGATTGATATGTTTGGTATCAATATCTTGAAGCTATTAGTTATACTATTCTTATATTTTAATTGCTCACTTGTTTGCTAAAATATTAAGTCTGGCAGCAAATATTAATCACTTCCTCTTCTTCTTCTTAAAGTGCCTATCCTCTTTGGATGTTGGCTATCATATTGATCCATATTACTTTGTTCGCTGCCGTTCTGAACAAAGCTGTTGACATCAATCCGGTCCATGTTCGTATATTTCGCAGCCACGATATTCGTCTGCGTCCCGCTGATCTTCTGCCTTCTATTTTCCCATGCAGTATGAGTTGGAGTAGACGGTATTTCTCGTTCCTCATGATGTGTCCGAAGTATTCTAGTTTTCTTCGTTTGACATTTATCAGAAACTCCAACTCCTTGTTGATGCGATATAGTACAGTCTCATTTGACACGCGATGCACCCACGAAATTCTAAGCATGCGCCGATAGTACCACATCTCAAATGCCTTCACACGCTTGCATGATGCGTCGGTAAGGGTCCACGCCTCTGCTCCATACAGAGGGGTTGAGAGCATCTCAGGATTCTGATTCTAGTGCGGACGTTGAGGGACAGGTTGCATAGTATATTTCGCATTTTTGTTAAATGTCCCTCTCGTGATTTCGATTCGGTGTTTTATTTGGCGAGAGTGGTCCCAGTCTTTAGTCAGGGTGCAGCACAGGTATGCAACTGTCTCGGCCGCTGTATTCGCCACACGATCTATAAGCCTTTGGAGACCTTCAGCGGTATCGGCCAACAGAACGGTATCATTTGCGTATCTCAAATTGTTTATTATTTGTCCGTTTATTACCAGCCCATCTTCTGTGCCATCCAGTGCCCTGTCGCACTCCCCTCCTTACACTAATCTCTTCTGAAGTTTCGTTCTCGATTCCACGACCTTTTGTTGACGATAAAGTTTTGTTATTATCTCTTTGTCTCTATCGTCTATTCCTGATTACTGTAAAATCGAGATGAGTTTGTCATGCTGGACTCTATCAAAGGCCTTTTCGAAGTCTATGAAGGACGCAAAGACATCTACATTGACGTCGCGTGCTCGTTGGATTAGGACTTGTATTGAAAACAGAGCCTCTCTGGTGCCCAGTCCCTTTCTGAAGCCGAACTGAGTTTCACCTACGTTTTCATCGAGCTTTCTATATATATACGCGTTTGGATGATATTAAGGAGGATTTTTAGGACGTGGCTCATCAGACTGATTATTCTGTGATCAGAGCATTTGGTCGCGTTTGCCTTCTTAGGAAGCGGTATAAATGTTAATAGCAGCCAGTCGTTTGGGATTGGACCACCTGTATAAATATTGTTGAATAGGGTGGTCAGTAGTTGAACTTGTTCCGAGTCCAGCAGTTTAAGAACTTCTCCGTGTATCTGATCCGGTCCGGAAGTCTTGTTTTTCAGACGTTTGATAGCTGCTTCCACTTCTTCCTGTATAATGGTGGGCCCTATATTGCCAGTTCCTGCAGTTATGTTGTCGCTATTTTCGTTTCCGAAGCTCCTCTTAGCTCCTCCATGTACTGCCTCCATCTTGAGAGTTTTTTATCTGTTTCTGTAATGATGCCATTAATTACAATATTAATCATAATCACCAAAAATTTCTCTAAAATACATTATTCCCTTTGCGACTTTAGAATAACTGAAAGCAGTTACATGAAAACATGTTCCCTGCTTTACATTCTAAGCACCAAACAATAAAACATGATCTGCGGAAATGTGTCAATTTCATAAAATATTGTTAACTTTTAAAATAACTGAAATCAGTTACATGAAAACATGTTCCTGCTTTGCATTCTAAACACTTTTCTTATTGTGCAGGTATGAACTTAACCTATTAGTAGATAATGTAATTTAAACATCAATACTGTACCGAGAAAAAACGGAAATAAACAAAAACAAACCATTAAAACCAAATCAAATCAAAATACACTGTAAGCTAAAGCGCGTCTGTTTACGAATTTCAATTGCCGAGTGCTTTTCAAATCTTGCTATATTTTATCATTAAATGAAAATGTTACACTTGCGCAAGAAGTTTTTTTGCATGTCTATGTTAATAGCATGCAAAATTAAAGCTAGAATGAAAAGCAGAAACGTATGTTACTGGTTTCAGCTATTCTAAAGTTGAAAAAAAACTGAAATTATGCATTTCCGCAGAAAAATTTGGGTGAATTTTTATTTGGAAAGGTTTTCAAGTACTAAATAAACAAATTTTTTTTTTTTTTTTTTTTGTTGTTTTTCCATTTAAACAACGTAAAATATTTTTCCATTAAAAGTAAAAAGTACCATAACTTTAAAACGGTTTAGAATAAAAACATTTGTCTACAAAATTCTTGTAGAGCATAAAATTTACTAAAAATATATCTGAGAGTATTTTTTCAATTCAATAATTCGTAATTTGAAAGCTTTGAAAAGTGAAAAAAAATAAAATATGCAGAATTAATAGAGTGTATAATTATTTTAAATGCAATCAATTAAATCAATCAACAAATCTACATTATAGACAATATTTTTTAACAATATTAATCTATTTTATTTAAATCTAGTTTTTTTGCTAAATACCAGAAAATTTTAATCAATAAAGAGGTAAAACTGCATATTTTGATTTTTTCTTTATTTTTTATATTTTTCTATTTCATATCTTTCTTTGGAAAGTGGAAAACTAATCTATGAAGTTATGGTACTTTAAATGGAAAAAGATTTTTTTGTGTTATTTAAATGAAAAGTTTTGAATATTCACCGACACCTTTTAAATTGAGCTAAAATCCTACCTTCCGGGGATATTTTTTTCCCGGTCATTAGGTTCATTTTAACCCACTTAAATTCCATAGGTTAATTGTTTTGGCTCACCCTAGTTGGCATCCAATACTTTATTAAAGAGTTACTATAAAACTGCAAATTTAATTTGATCCAGGGTTAACTGAAATAAATGGTAATTATAAATTCTATTCTTTGAAATGCAAAATTAAATATGAGGTACTAAATTTATTTAATCATTCAATAAAATAATATTTAAATATTACTCATGCTATGAATATTGTAAAACCTAAAAATATTTACCGCCAGTTTAAAATTTTGTATGGAAAATAAATTAACAGCAGCTGTTTTAAAACACAGTGTAATAATTTTAAATACAATTTTCGAAATAATTAAAATATGTAACTGTATTATTAAGTATAAATTTCTCTCATTGCTGTTAATGCGACTCCATGTCATATACTGCTAATCTAATTTATATTATTAACTTTATATTATTTAAAAAACATTTTAATGACAATCTTGTATTTAGGACAACAGTAATGTTATAATATTTATAATAAATATTGAATTGATTATTATTTACAATATAAGTAAATTATAAACTATCTTATCATAATACAAATTAATACAAAATATAAATTACATGAAAAAAAAAATATTTTTTATTTTTATATAGTATATTAATATTATATTATAGGTATATGATATAAATTAACTAATTTTTTTAAAAATATTCTTATAAAATCCTTCGAAATGTGGCTGAATTTTAATCAGTACTTGGAAGGTGAAAACTTATTTCTAAATTTATTTTTGGAGAAATACAGGGTGAGTCTCAAATAAGTGCAAATATTGCACCAAAGGTTTGTAGATCTCAATAAAAAGGAAATCGCCTTTATTGTTTTCAAATAAGTCCAAAATTAACCCAGTTATTTAAGTTTAAAAATAAAAAAATATATTTCACAGTTTTTCTGTATTTGCATCTCTTTTAGGGCCTTAACCATAGAGTAAAACCATAACAATCAGAGATTAAGATAATACCCTGGGAAAATTTGCGTAGAACAGGCAGTTTAAAAAAAAAGTTATTTTCGGTCTTGTTCCTTCTAGATCATATATGTAGTATACTATCTTCGCGCTAGATGTCGCCACCGATATAAAAAGAAAAAACCTCCCTCCCACCTACATATCTATAAATTCATAATTCACGCGCCTTCATTACTGTTTTCGGTGCGAAAGTGTTCGCGTCACCGTGTAATTTTATCCCTGTTCGGGATCGTTTTTATTGTGCAAAGACATATAGTGCGACAAATATGGGAAAATATAAAAAACGGAATCGACATTCATCATTTTCCGAAGAAGACGAAGGGAATAGGAAGAAAGTAAAGGCGTTGAAACGAGAAATTGCTCGTTTAAAAAGAAAAGTCAAAGGAAACGCCGCCATAAATCGGTGCCCATATTTTCATCAAGCTCGGACTCTGACAGCTCGTCTAATGTTGAATCAATATGTTTAAGTGCCTCTGAATGTAATTCCAATGCAAATTCAATAGTTACGAGTCAAAGTAAGTTTCCATGTTCCTAACCCAACGATGTTTTTTGTTTTTAGGTTACTTACGCAACGCTTGTTATGATGAGTTGGCGGCGCCTACTATGTGAACTTTACGGCCGTATTTCCCCCCTTTTTAACTATATAAACAGGTTGTTTAACGAGTTTTAAACTTTACTGTTTCTATAATAATATAATTTAACTTAATTATGGATTTTCCGGCCATATATTTCTCTTCGAATTTTATAAACAGGTTGTTTAACGAGTTTTAAACTTTCCTGTCACTATAAGGTTAAACGAGTTTTAACTGAAAACATAATTTAACTTAATTATGGATTTTCCGGCCATATATATTTCTCTTCGAATTTTATAAACAGGTTGTTTAACGAGTTTTAAACTTTCCTGTCACTATAAGGTTAAACGAGTTTTTAACTGTGAAAAATATAATTTAATTTAATTATGGTTTTTCTGGCCATATTTTTCTTTTGAATTTTATAAACAGGCTGTTTAACGAGTTTTAAACATTCCTGTCGCTGGGGTTAAACGAGTATTTAACTGGAGACCTATGCTTAACGAGTTTACGCGTAGGCTCCGCCCAGTGAAAAGAACCTTCAAACGGCATGACACAAACAATAATTAGGGGTGTTTTTTCAACGAGTTCTTGAATTTATGCCTACCTACCGTTATGTTGTCAGTCTGTGGTGCGATTCTGTAAACATATTTCCTGTCTAGTGACTCATCAATCGTATACAAATAACATAGGCTAAGCAAGAAATTTTCTTGCTATGGAGCTTACAGAATCCCACTGCTGTTTCTTTTAGCTGTCACGAATCTAAAATTGTGTCATTTATAAACTAGGAGTTTGTCTAATTTCCTTTTTTCTTTAAGGAAATTTGGAGGTTGCCAGTCCTCGAGACACCACAAATGAGGTCACCGCGAATCAAGAGAGTCAAATTGAGGAAGATCTTCCTCCAGAAGTTTTAGACCTCCTAGGGGTCGATAAGGCAAGACAACCTCAATTGACAGAAGCTATCCACGTTTCCGTGGCCCGAAGGTGGGAAAAATTGCTTAAGTCAGGTATGGAGTCTGATTCTATAGCAGAGTTGGTAAAAAAGTATCCACCCATGACAAATTGTCTAGTTGCGGCTCCTCAATTAAATAAACAGGTCTGCGCGGTACTGTCTGAACAACATAAAAATCGCGATATACGCTTAGCAGAATTGCAGAATCAACTTGGGGCAAGCATGTCAGCCATCGGTCGTGCCCTTTCCTGCCTATTAAATGAGGGTGAAGACAGAAATTTGCCTCTGATTGAACTTCTCAGCGATGCGGGCAAACTATTAGCAAATGTTCATTTGAAGACTCTAGTCCCGAAGAAACCTTGTATTGACTGGGGTTAATCGACAGTTCCGGGATACATTGAATAGTGTCCCTGTAGATGGCTGGTTATTTGGAGAAGATCTAGAAGATCGGATGAAAGAAGCTAAGGCATTGGAAAAATCTTCTTTGGACCTCAAGTTAAAACCCAAGCCAACTAAGAAACCGGTTTTGAAACAACGCCATTTAAACGCTCAAGGCCAACTCCGGTACAGACGCGGGACAAACCAGAGCAGGCCAAAACACGTGTCCCAAAGGAATCAAGGGAGTGGATACAAGTCCTCGACAAAGCATCCGGCAACGGGACACTCTTACAGGAGATCCGACCAACAGGTGAACCGCCTTCAGCCTCGCCAGGTGGATCAACGATTGTACCGTTACCCCGAAAGGAATTAGAAGTAAGTCACATTAGTGGTAATCTTAAGCATCATTTGTCGGCTTGGAAGGAAATAACTTCTGACCGTCGTATATTGTCATGGATAAAAGGATATAGAATACCCTTTATCCGTAAACCCAAGCAAAACACCATTCCTAGAGAACACAGATGGAGTTCTACAGAAAAATCCACTATTCAGGAGCACCTAAATAAACTTTTAAAATAGAAGAGGCTATCAGGGAATGTGCCCCTGTAAAAAATCAATTTATTTCAAAAATTTTTCTTACTCCCAAACGCGATGGTTCTCACAGATTGATCCTTAACCTTAAAAGTCTTAATCGTTTTATTCAGACCCAGCATTTTAGGTTAGAAGACCATAATTCTGTCAGAAAGTTATTAACTCCAACTGCTTTTCTAGGAACTATAGACCTTAAAGATGCATATTATGTTATTCCAGTTAAAAAGTCTTTTTGTAAATATTTGCGTTTTCAGTTTAATAATAAGATATTTGAATACACATGTTTACCTTTTGGCTTGAGTACCGCTCCTTTTGTTTTCACCAAACTTTTAAAGCCTGTTTTAGTTTATCTAAGGAAACGAAATTTGTTATCAAACACGTATCTAGACGATTTTTTATTAATAGGGAACTCTTATGCCGACTGCTTAAAAATATTTCTTTAACTAGTTCATTTTTGCAAAAACTGGGTTTTTTCATTAACTGGGAGAAAAGTGTAATAATTCCAAATCAAAAATTAAATATTTGGGTTTTTTGTATAATACACTAGAAATGTCGGTATCTTTACCAAGGGATAAACAATCCAGATTGCAAAGGATGCTTTCAGGTTTTTCTGTGAGGAAGAAAGTAAAAATAAGAGATTTTACCCAAGAGTTGTAGGTTCTTTAATATCAGTTTGCCCAGCGATCCGTTATAGTTACCTATACACCAAACAAATGGAGCGTGTAAAATGCCTAGCCCTTCATAGGGCTATCGGTAATTTTGACCATTACATGATAATTCCACCATGCTTGGAGGATGACATCCAATGGTGGAAGTCTCATTTAATGTGTTCAAACTCTCTATCTGTCCCTAGGTTCTGTCTAGAACTTTTCAGTGATGCCTCACGGTCAGGCTGGGGTGTTGTCTGTGGTAACAAAAGATCACATGGTTTTTGGAACAGTGAAGACCAAAAGCTTCATATAAATTCCTTAGAGCTGTTGGCAGCTTTTTTCAGCCTAAAATGCTTTGCAAGCGACTTGAAAAATTGTGATATTTTGTTGCGTATCGACAATACCACAGCCATTGCCTATATAAATAAAATGGGAGGCACTCAACACTATCATTTACATCTTATTGCCAAAGCTATCTGGCAGTGGTGCGAAGAGCGCGATATCTGGATTTTTGCATCATATATAGAGTCATCGAAAAACTGGGCGGATATTGAATCCAGACGATTATCAAATCAAACTGAATTTGAACTAGCAGACTTTGCTTTTATTAGAATTTGTAACGAGTTGTTTTTTCCTTCGGTAGACCTATTTGCTTCTAGAAACAATGCAAAAGTTAAAAAATTTGTCTCTTGGTTTCCAGACCCTGAGGCAATCGCAGTCGACGCATTTACACTATTTTGGCAAAAAATTGATTTCTATGCTTTCCCCCCCTTTAATCTAGTTCCTAGAGTGTTACAAAAAATTAGCCCACAGACAAAGCAAAAGGGGTTGTTGTCGTACCATTCTGGCCCTCTCAGGCATGGTACCCCCTTTTTCTTCGACTGTGTGTCAAAGGTCCAATAGTTTTTGAACCAAACTCTAAATTACTACTTTCTCTTGACAGATCTCCCCACCCACTGCACGAGAGTCTTTCCCTGGCTGCAGGCCTCTTATGGTACAAGGACTGAGAGCCAGGGGTGTTCCAGAAGATGCACTGCAGATTTCAATTTCATCCCTAGCAAATTCATCTATTAAACAATACAACAGCAGCATCAGACTGTGGTGGATTTTTTGCTTAGAAAACAATTTGCCTTTATTCGAGTTTTCTGTACAAAACATCCTAAATTTTTTGTCTTTCCATTTTAACAAGGGTGCTTCCTATAGTTCTCTGAATACCATGCGCGCGGCTCTCTCTTTTCTCATTTCGCCGGAGGTGGGTTCTGATACCCGTATCAAGCGCTTCTTTAAGGGTATCTTTAGAATAAGACCACCAGAGCCTAGATACAAAGAAACCTGGAATCCTGATTTGGTTTGAATTTTTTCCTAATTTAGTCCTCCCAATGGCAGAAAGTGGAAGCTTAAAACTGCTCTCACATAAATTGGCAACTTTATTGGCCCTGGTGACGGCTCACAGAATTCAAGCTTGCTACAGTAATTTTAATTTCTAATATCGAAATTTCAGAGGACTGGGTGTGTATAAAAGTTCCAGATTTCATTAAAACGTCTGGCCCCAATCGTTTTCAACCGTATCTCAAATTTCCATTCTTTAGGGAAAAGCCAAAACTATGTGCCGCATCGGCCTTAATATCCTATCTGAATGAAACCAAAGCTATACGACCGCTTAATGTAAATAATTTATTCATAACGACCACGAAACCTCATAAAGAGGCTTCCAGACAAACAATTAGTCGCTGGATTAAGTTTACCTTAAGTAAAAGCGGCATTGATACATCGGTTTTTCGTGCACAGAGCACACGACACGCCTCAACTTCTGCTGCGGCAAGGAAAGGAATGTCAGTAGAGACCATTCGAGAAGCTGCGGGTTGGTCTGCCACATCCCAGGTTTTTGCAAGGTTCTATAACAGACCTTTAACCAAGCCAAATTTTGCTACAGCAATCATTCCTTAACTATGTTTAGTCTAGTGGTATAGTTATATTCATTTTTGTTCACTTTTATTTCCTTCCTCTGTTTGCTGTTTTTTGGAAATAAAGGACATATATTATTGCAACCTCTTTTATACTGTAAACATCTACATATATGATCTAGAAGGAACAAGACCGAAAATAATTATAAATAAACGAACTTACCTGTGAAGTTCGATCGTAATTAAGGTCTTGTTCAGGCTCACTCCCACCCAGAACCCCTTTTTTCCCAGTGATCTATGGAGAGGTTGCATCAGTGCGGTAATGGCTTTAAACTTAATGAAGGCGCGTGCGAATGAGGACCGGATAGGAGAGTGTAGGTGGGAGGAGGTTTTTTCTTTTTATATCGGTGGCGACATCTAGCGCGAAGATAGTATACTACATATATGATCTATTCGGAACAAGACCTTCAAATAATTATGATCAAACTTCACAGGTAAGTTCGTTTAATCTTATAATTCTCTAAAATATACAAGAAAATTGCATGATTTTCAACTTTTTTTGCGAAAAAAAACCTCATAGACTTATTCCTGGTGTCGAAATATACCACCCCAATTATTGGACAAGTCCAAGATCGGTTAATTTTGATTTGAGCAAAAAAGTATAGAAATCATTTTTATGGAGAATTTGATGCTCTACAGCTTCATTCAGAACCTCGAAATCAGTGGAATAAATTAGTAGTTCCAATGAGCCGTATAAGTTTGTTCGCCTAATTTTAATATTAAGCATTCAAGAACGTGATAATTAGTGGTAGTAATTTTCAATCAGTGGAAAAAAGTTAACAAACTTTGGCTTTCCAATAATTATATTTCAAAATTTACGAGGAATGTCATTTTGGCCTTTGATATCACCCGCCAAGGAAAATTTTTGTTAGAAATCAAAGTTTATTATTTCATAAGCTAAATATTATGCTTTCTCTATGGATACAAGGACTACTGTAAACTGTTGTTAGGATATTTTAATAATTTTAATTGTTTTGAGACATTGTGAATGATCGTAAACTAAAAAGTATAAAGTGTGAAATTGAAACCAATAATTTATTCCACTAATTGGGAGTTTATGAGTGAAGCTTAAAACTTTTATATATTATGAAACTTTTTTCTTTCTAATCCTGGTCCTTTTCTAAAATTAAAAAAAAACTTCTCGGGGGTGAATTGAAAGAATCAAATTGAAGCAAAATATTTCATTGAAAAGAAAATGTTAAATACACACACCGGAAAAGTCTAGGGATTCTAGGGATATTACAATTTTATCCAGCCATCGTCAGTAATTTTATTATTTGCATTTCTGATATAATAAAATTAAAATAAACTCTTTATATTACTATGTATATTATGTATATTACTGTGTTACTGTATTGGAAATAAAAATTCGAAATTTACCGAATTTTTCAAATTTACTATGATTTTTTATTGAACTCAAAAATATACACATTTTTTTTATTCGCTGTGAATTAAAAAAAATAAAACCATTTTTTTTTTTAATTAATAAAAGGTATAGCCTCCTCTACTGTACATTACAGCCCTACATCGTCTCTTCATGCTCCTGATCAGGTTGTCGATCACTTCTTGAGGTACAGCCTGCCTCACTGCATTCACGGCAAGAACTCATTCAACATTGTTCTTCATTCACAATCTCAAAATTCTTCTTTGGACCGCGTCCCATACGTGCTCGATGGGATTGAGGTCAGGAGATTGTGCCGGCCAGGGTAAGATGTTTAATTGATGCATTGATAAACTCATTGATAAAATCTCTGAGCATTGATAAACTCTCTGAGCATTGAAAAGTTTCTCCTCA